CTCGCTACATTTTGCAGTATCACTACGATGAAGAACACTGCACAGGCTTGTGAAAAAATTTGTGAAGATACTCTATCAAAATCAGCAGCATGGAAATGGTCCACTCGCTTTCGTGAAATTTCGATGTCAAAGATGAACCTCGCTTCGGTCGACCAATCACCGAAAAGTTCGATGAAATCATGGAAAAAGTTGAGCGTGATAAGCATGTGAGCAGTGTGGAGATTGCCAAGGAACTAGGCATCGACCACAAAACAATTTTGAATCAGTTACACAAAGCTGGATACAAAAAGAAGCTCGATGTTTGGGTTCCTCACGAGTTGAGTGTTAAGAACATGATGGACCGAATTAACATTTGTGATACGCTACTGAAACGGAATGAAATTGAGTTATTTCTGAAGAGAATGATAACTGCCCGATGAAAAATTTGTCATGCAAAATTTTATATGAAATTTGTCCATACATAATTATGTATAATTATATATAATCATATAAAATTATATATAATTATACACAATTATGTATAACAATATGTATAATTACATATAAATTTATGCGTAATTATGTAAAATTATATATGAATTTATATATATAATTATATATATAAATATATTATATATATATATATATATATGTATATATATATATATATATATATATATATATAATGTATGAACATGAATGGACAAATTTGATACATAATAATATATAATTATATATAATTTTATATAATTTTATATGAAAAATTTTTCATTGTGTGGTAATCAAAAATGGGTCACATACGACAATCGCACTCGAAAAAGATCGTGGACAAAGAAAGGAGAGAAGGCGCAAGCAATCGCAAAACCTGTATTGACGACGAAGAAGATGATGTTGTGTGTGCGGTGGGATTGGAAGGGAATCGTTCACTATAAGCTGTTACCGCCCGGTCAAACAATTAATTCCGAACTTTACTGTGAACAACTGGAGAGATTACAACAAGCAATTGAGAGGAAGCGGCCAGAATTGATCAGGAATTGAATAGGAAGGCTGTCGTCTTCCATCACAACAACGCTCGATCACACACATCTTTGATGATTTGGTAAAAATTGCGAGAGCTTGCCTGGGAAGTTTTGATGCATCCACTGTATAGTCCTGACATAGCATTCTCAGACTATCATTTGTTTAGGTTTCTTCAGAACTCTCTTAATGATATAAAGCTGGCTTCAAAAGAGGCTCTGAAAATCACTTGAAGCAGTTTTTCTACAGAAACCACAAAAGTTCTATTGCGATGGGATTATGGCTCTGCCCCAAAAATGGCAAAATATTATCGAAAATAATGGAGCATATTTGGTTTGAATAAATTGATCTTAATACTCTAAGAAAAACTTGAATTTTACTAAAAAAACACCTCGAACTTTTTTCCACACCCAATATATTTGCCCGTACGTACAATTGCGATTATTTCGAGAACTGTTGGACCGATTTTTATGAAATTATTAGAAGTATTTTATGAAAAAGTTGATATGTAAATTAATTATACCTTTAAGTGAGAAATTTTATCATTTTCATAATCATGTGTCCTTAAATATTGCATTACTCTAGATAATAAATTTAATTAGTTTAAGCCATGGACTTAATGCTCGGTCTAGTCTTAATATATTTATGAGAAATCCCTAGATTATTCATTACGTTATTTATTACGTAATGTCAAGAGACTATCAGATAATGGAATTTGTTGAATCATTTCACTTCACTTTATCTCTTACGAATATATATATGTTGAAGATATATGTGTTGGGCCAATATAAGTGAGCTCTCCTTTTCGTGAAGTTTAGTACCGCTAGGCGTTTGTACGTATGCACATCCAATGTGTGATTATCAGCGATTTCATACAGTTTTACAATTGTGACAAATATAACCCGATCTGTACCTAGTGATTAATAAAGAAACTGGTTTCGGCATTATTTTCTTCTACAAAATAAAGGTGACATCTCGCTAACGAAATTACATAATTACATAGTTTGATTCTTGTGTTAATTGAGCCATGTATTTTGAAAATGTTCGCTTATTTTTCCTTCAAAATATTAAGACAATTTCATGAGATTGAAAATGACTGTGCCTTTAAATGAATAATTTTATCATTTTTATAATCATGTGACGTTAATTGCAGCATCGCTCTGTGCAATAAGGAGTATAAAAGTAAAGTGTAAAAGAGCAAAAAAAGCATTAGTTGTAATACTTGATGCTTGTTTTTCGTTTTGAAACTATAAATCAAAGAAACTTACGTAAGATACACATTATCATCTACAGTCCATACATTGTACGTAGTATATATCGGACGCGTACAGTACCGTCAAAAACTTTTTAGATACTTTTCCGAGACACTGAACTGTCAACGGATAATATGCCGGGCATTAAAAGTTACGCCACTTACATCGGAAAAGTTGCAGAGTGTATATGCACGGAGAAAACTAATTTTACTCTTTTAGCAAAATCGTCGTTGCTACTGCATATTCATAGTGACACCAAAAAAATTTAATTGACGTAACTAATTTTACAAATTATTCATTATCAGAGCAGAAGTAGTTTCGTTGCTGGGATAGAAAAATTTGTTGAGTGTACTTGTTAGGATATCAATAGGAAAATTTTTAGGAGAATCACGTTAATTTGCTATTGATGCAAAATAATGTATCCTTAGCAAATTTATTTGCTATCGGAGTAAAACTGTAACTGCTTATATAAATCCATCATGGTTCTTAAGCAAAATAATTTGTAAATACAGTAAATCCAGCAAATAGTGATTAGTATTCTTAGCAAATCTTTTTGCTGTCCATATAATAACGAAAAGATTTTGCTAGATCAGCAGAAAATTTGCTAGGCCAGCAAATTATTTTTCTTCGTGTGGGAATGTATATTGCCTATCGAAATATGATATAAAAGCCTGATTTACATAGTGCACTTGATACGCGTATTAAATAGTAAACTAGTATTTTCTATTAATTTTCTATGAAATTAAAATCTAATTTTTTATTAAATAATCTTAATATCGACGATGTATATAAACAACGATATATTAAGCTGGTATAATACTCATCAAGAAGACGTATTGTATTGATTGAATGCGTCGTCGTTGATATGCATTGTCAATATTAAGATTATTTAATAGAAAATTATTATTTAGTACGCGTATCAAGTGCGATGTAAACCAGGCCATTAGCAGACAGATAGATAGATAAATATTGACACGTTTCTGTGATAGTGTCCAAATACTTTCTAGTGATACTGTATACATGAGCATTCATACCACTCAAGAAGTTAATATAAAGTACTGCAGCTAATATGGAGTACAAGGTTAAAACACATTCGCAGCCACGGACGTGCTACGGTCTACACTAAGACTCTATGTTAGGATATTTGGCACTCAGAAACTTGTCATATCAATTAAAACTGCGAGAATAAATAGTAAATTTTATAATACTTTATTGCAGAGAACTGCAACACTGAATGCACCATGTTTTCTCAAAAATTGATAATGAAATCACACGATATAAACTCGTATCAATAATCGTTACTTGAAACTTATTCCACGTGAGATACTCAGATCTTTTAGAATTAGATTTAATTATTTTACTTGAATCATATAATATGTGTGATATTATATTTGCAATTGCGTTTTAACTGAAAAACTTACCTCTATCTCTGAATTCAATCTGAGTATCCTAAGATCTAACACCTAAGATAAGTTTTAAATGTCTTAAAATAAACTTATCTTAAAAATTATAGTTATTTAAAACTGCTAATAACAAAACGTTTAAGATTACAAATTTAAAAATTAAAGGTATATCTACGTCAAAGATACGTATAGGCGCAGATATAAATAAAATTGTTAGTGCAATTTTCCACCATGGTGAAAGTATAATTAATGGATATTATACAAATGTGCGTAGTAAGCATGCAAAATGGGTCTCAATTAATGATTCCACAATAAAAAAAATGCAGTTAGCCACGAAATTCCAAAGATGCATACATTTTCTTTACTGAAAAATGTAATAAGATTTGTATCTAAATAATCTATACAAAAACCTGTGAGATCATCACAAACAATTTTCTTTACAAAAGAAAAAAAACGCCGAGTACGTATCAAAACAAAAACTACAAAATGAAAAGTACATATTAACTTAATCAATTCATAAATTCATAAATAAATTTATAAATATATTCATACAGAAAAGTCATTCCTATATACGGCGACACACAGTCTTGAATTCATGAAACATTAATATAGATTTCCCTATTGTGAATATATATATATATATATATATATATATTGTTTTTTTAATAATGTACATAAAATTATTAATAGCATTATAAACATTTATATTGAAGATGTATTAATTGGGACACACCGAGTTTTTGATCCTCAATGTTAAGTTTTTTTCAATTTGATACTTGGATATTTCAGCGTTTAATTATTAATATTATTAATGTGACGATCCACAGAAATAATGGATCGTCACGACAATTATTTATTATTATTTACGCCGAACAACCGCGTAGGAAAACGCCGAACATCCGCGAGGTCAAGAAAACAGCTTCGCTGTTTATAGAATTCGTGTATAAAAGCGAACGCGAAAACGCTATCGAGAGAGATCCGTCGGAGAGCTCCTCTGAGACGCTCAACCGAACAGAACTCATAGCGAACCTTACCTCTACCTGAACCGTTCCATCGACCGAAGTGGATACGCGACATCGACATCCTCTACCCAGACCGTGCCGACATCGCATAACGCATCTCACGTATACAAATAGCGAGACACACCGCGACAACAACCATTCCGAAACCGGCTCGGTTAAAAGCCGATATCGACCAGCAGTTTAAATTCCGCTGAGTATACACACTTACACGTGGACAATAAAAGATCGCGAAACGACCAACCACGTCCCCCGACCCGCGCGCGAGCCAAGACGCTCGCAACTGACACCGCGACGACAACTGAGCCTCATGAGGTGGCCTGTATGAAGTTAGCCCCCCACTTTTCGAATTTAATAATTTTGACAGTTGTGCTGATTTGTGCTAGGTTTGTGCTACATTGTGCTCGAATTATAAATTTTTAATACGAAAAATGAGCGAGAAAAATGGAAAAACCCGTCTTTTTGGTAGCCTCCACTTTTCGATTTTCGAAATTTTTTTTATTGTGTTAGGTTGTACTAAGTATTGACTCAGAATTGCATATCTGAGTTGCGCTAGGCTAGCACAAGTTTCAGTTTCGTCAGCACAAGAATCTAAAAAGCACTTTACTCTTGACCGCGGCCCTTTGCGCTCGCAATTTATGCCATTAATTACTATTTCTAGACTTTGCATCGACTCAGAATTGCATATCTGAGTCGATGCAAAATCTAGAAGTGGTGATTAATGACATAAAATGCGAGCGCCAAAGGCCGCGGTCAAGAGTAAAGTGCCCTTTAGATTTTTGTACTGGCGAAACTGAAACTTGTGCTGACTTGTGCTAGGCTGGCACAACTCAGATATATAATTGTATATCGTTTGGTTGACTTATACGAGTGTAAATCTTACTTTTATTCTATTTGCCTAAAATCGTTTTTTTTGTCTTATTTCTTTCGTAATTATTTTTCGAAGATTCTACTTTAGCACAATATTAACACAACTTAGCACAACCTAACACAATAAAAAAATTTCGAAAATCGAAAAGTGAGGGGCTACCAAAAAACGGTTTTTTCCATTTTTCTTGCTCATTTTTCATATTAAAAATTTATAATTCGAGCACAATGTAGCACAAACCTAGCACAACTGTCAAATTAGCACAACTGTCAAAATTATTAAATTTGAAAAGTGGGGGGCTAACTTCATACAGGCCATGAGGTGAGCTAAAACGCGACCACGCACCAACGGCGTCGCGCTATCTGTAAATACGTGTAAATAGCGTTTACTTAAGAATATATTTTGACACTTCTTATTACGTACGCCACTGTTTCTAATTTATTGAGCTAAACCTTGGACCGCACCGGCTAAGTCTATCCCGCATGTAACGCAAGAGCGTTACATTAATATTTATCACATAATTTTTTGTGTAATAAGAACTTACATATATATACTTGATTTATCATATTGATCTTACTTCTTTTTTCATTATAATTAATTTAAAACATCTATATTTTGATTAAGTTAACATGTACTTTTTGTTTTGTAATTTTTGTTGTGATACGTACTTTTTTTTTCTTTTGTAAAGACTGTTTGATAATTATATTACAGAGAAAAAATATCAATACAAGATGATAATTGGGATAACAATTGGCCTTTTCATTGCTATCCTTACACTAATGTATGTTTATTGCAAATACGTGCTATTCAATTTCTGGCGAAAAAACGGTGTGTTTTATGTCGAACCTGTTGTACCAACTGGTAACATAAGTGATTTGGTAACTGGAAAACTATCAATGGGCAAGTATTGTTGCATGATATGATGAGTTAATAGTATCTTCAGTAATTGAAGAATCGCGTCAAAAGCAAAACATCCTCTTTTTACTATATCTAACAAAATTATAATTTATCTTCTTGAAATTTGTACGAGAGAGAGAGAAAAAGAGATTTGTACAAATATTCTTATATATTCTGCAACCGGAATTGAAAAAAATTTTGTAAACAGGCGAATTATTTCAAGATGCCTATATGAAATATAAAAATCATCATGTTTTTGGAATGTACATGTTTTTCAAACCAAATCTGGTAGTCGCCGATCTCGATCTAATACGAACGGTGCTGACAAAGGAATTCGGGAGTTTCCATGATCGTGGGTTTTATTGTAACGAAAAAATCGACCCATTGTCTGGTCATTTGCTTTCCTTGTCCGGGAAAAAGTGGAGGAACTTACGCGTCAAATTGACGCCAACCTTCACATCGAGAAGGATGAAGCAAATGTACACAGTTGTGAAAGAGTGTGGCGAAGAGTTGACGAAGAGTTTGGAGAGTAAAGCTCGCACAGGAGATTCTATCGAGATCAAAGATACATTTGCAAGGTGATCTTCTATTAACAAGCCTTTATCCAAAGAAAAAATTTCAACAAAATAAAGGGTTTTGTGTAAAGTATACATTATAATAATGAATATTCCTTGTTTGTTTTAATCAACTATTATTTTCTTGTGACGTTCGATCTGCATTTATAAATATTTGAAATAAACTACAATTGCGCGTTCACTTACATGTTTCCATAATTAATCACACATCCGTTAGAACTTACCAAACTGATTTTTATCGAACAATAATAGATACTCGACGGACGTAATTATGTCGGCTGCATTTGGAATAAAATCCAATTGCCTACTTGAGACAAACAACGAATTTCGCTATTGGGGAAAAAAGGCCACCGAAATGAACAGCATTTGGGCTGCTATCACCATGTTTGTTCCATTTATTATGGAAGCTTTTTCCATTCCCACCACGGATCGCGGTGTTGAAAAGTTCTTCACGAAATTATTTCAAGACAATGTAGAGCACAGGAAAGCTCACAACGTTGTCAGACACGATTTCATGAATCTACTCATACAACTCATGGAGAAAGGCTACGTGGAACCCGATGAAAGCGAAGATGCCGCCGATGTATCGTGTAATTATATATTTTACATTTATTTTCACATTGATAACATTGTAGATATACTGCAAAATTTTGCAGTATGCGTGGACTTCTGCTTATGTAGAAATCACGTGAATAGAGTAAACATACTTTCAAACTAATATATTTTTAACATTGCTATTTATAATCACTATAGGATTTTAATATTTTCGGACACACATTCTTTCAATAACCTAATATATTTTTAACATTGCTATTCATAATCGTTATTCGAACATACAGCTAACAATAACACTTTATTCGAACATACAGCTAACAATAACAAACTCACCATGCTGGAGGCGGCCGCGCAAGCTTTCATATTCTTCTTGGGCGGCTTCGAGACATCGTCGACCACGGGGACGTTCTGTCTGTATGAGTTAGCGGTACATCAGGATATACAGGACAAGCTTCGTCAGGAAATCAACATGACGTTGGAAAAGCACGGTGAATTGACTTACGATGCTGTGAATCAAATGACATATCTGCACAAAGTAGTTCAAGGTAGGTACGACATTCTCTTAGCACGTCGTCAAGAATCCTTGATTCGCAAGGAAATTGCAAATTTCGCGCAATAAGAACCAATTACATGTAATACAATGTATCTTTATATTTCTTTGAGCAGAGACTCTACGGAAGTATCCACCTCTACCTATCTTGAATCGTATCTGCACCAAGGAAATAGTCCTCCCAACGACAAATGCTCGCATTCCGAAAGGCACCATGATTACCATACCAGTGCTCGGATTACAGCGAGATCCGTCAATATATCCGGATCCGGATAAATTCGATCCTGAACGTTTCAACGCGGACCAAGTGGCGGCGAGGCATCCTTACGCTTACTTAGCTTTTGGTGAAGGACCACGTATCTGTATTGGTAAGAGTAAATAGATCTGTCCATATTACGTCTGTTTTTCTTTTTTTTTTTTGGAGAAGAATGATCGATATATATATTAATTTTTTCAGTTTTCAGAATTATACAAATCTTTTGGTACTTATAACATGTAATTATATGACATTTAATTATAGTATTTAAACGGACGAATAAATTCTTGAAGAGATTCGCGCGCGATTGATAGCTTATTTTTGTCGCGTTATATAGTCTACTTCTTTTACCTTACGAGCCGGAATATATTTTCCTTAAATCTGGACTCTGTTAACATGGATCTTATTAATTTCCAGGTTCAAGATTTGGTAATTTGCAAACGAAGGTTGGGATTATAAGTATGCTGTCCAAATTCAAGTTTAAGCTGCATCCCCAAACTCCAATACCTCTAATTTATGATAAATCATCATTTACACCTGCAGTCAAGGGCGGTTTACATCTTACTATTGAATCGCTATAAACTAATCGCGGTCATGCTTTTAGATGATAAAATAAATCCCGAATATATCTTAGAGCCGTATATTAGTTATTAACGCCAAAAGGGGAATACTATGTATTCTTCTAATAAATGTTATTAAAAAATATTAAATTCCATCAAATATTTTATATAATTGAAAGTGTCATGTACATAAAATATTCGTACAATAAAATTTGTAGTAACACAATCAAATATAAAAAGTTGAAAATGGCTGTGAAGTATTAAATACAATAAAAAAAAATAATGAAGAAAGAAAGAGCATATAAGAGTCAGGCATGGTTGTTAAAATGCAATTAATATTAGGTGTATAACTTTGATTCCGCCGTTTTTTTCCGAAATTCGAGGCTTTATTGTAAAAAACTGGTTATACATTTATGATTCAAAGTATTGTCCATCGTTGGCCACTACTTTCTCCCATCTTTCGAGCAGCGTACGAATCCCGCGTCGAAAAAACTGGTCATCTTTTGAGGCGATCCACAAATCGATCCAATTTTTTACTTCTTCATAAGACCGGAAGTGCTGGTCAGCCAGGCCGTGTGTCATTGATCGAAACAAGTGATAGTCAGAGGGAGCAACGTCTGGAGAATACGGCGGGTGGGGTAGGAATTCCCATTTCAACGTTTCCAAGTATGTCTTGACCATTTTCGCAACATGGGTCGAGCATTGTCATGCTGCAAAATCACTTTGTTTCTCGTTGTATTGCGGCCGTTTGTCTTTCAATGCTCGGCTCAAACGCATCAATTGCGTTCGATACCGATCGCCTGTGATTGTTTCAACCGGTTTTAACAGCTCATAATACACTACGCCGAGCTGGTCCCACCAAATACAGAGCATGACCTCGGAGCCGTGAATATTCGGTTTGGCCGTCGACGTGGAAGCATGGCCGGGAACTCCCCATGATTTTCTGCGCTTGGGGTTATCGTAATGAACCCATTTTTTGTCCCCAGTCACAATGCGATGCAGAAATCCCTTCCGTCTTTGCCTTTCAAGCAGCTGTTCACAAGCAAACAAACGCCGTTCAACATCTCTCGACTTCAATTCGTACGGCACCCGATTTCCTTGCTTCGGAATCATTCCCATGGCTTTGAGGCGTTTTGAAATGGCTTGTTGAATCACTCCCAATGATCGTGCCAATTCTTCTTGATTTTGACACGAGTCTTGATCAAGTAATGCCTCCAATTCTGCATCTTCGAAAACCTTCTCTCTTCCACCGCTATGCCGGTCTTCGACTTCAAAATCACCGTTCTTGAAGCATTAAAACCACTCACGACACGTTCTTTCACTAATAGCGGCCTCACCATAAGTATTTGAGAGCATTCGATGAGCCTCAGTCGTAGATTTCTTCATATTGAAGCAGAAAATTAAAACCTCCCGCAAATGACGAGAATTTAGCTCGTAAACTGACATTTTCAATCGAGAATAACTTTATGATGCAGACACAAATCGACTAATGTTTCTATGGGGTTATGTTGACA